GCAATTTCTCTCACAGGGGAGATCCTTTAAGTGTCAGCCTAGAGGTATGAGGTACATTTCCTCTGGAACAAAATGAGCGAGTGCCTGTATGTAGTAGTTTTCTACTAGGATACCAGTGATTCTCCCAGTAGAAATGCAATGCCTGTATGTGGTCTGTGGCTTGTCAAGTTGTGCATGACCAGCAGTGGCCAGTGCTTTTGGAAAGCACTTTTTTCAAAGGGATCCCATTACCCCAGGTTGGGGCTTGGCCAGGATGCAAAGAGACGTTTTAAGAAAGGAGATCTATGCTGACAATATACCTGAAGTCCAGTCAGAATGAATAACTTCTCTTTGTTACTAGCCCTGCCCTAAATTATTAAATCTGTAAGGACTTGGAACCTAAGATTTTCCACTTATCTTCCTTTTACCACTTTAGTTAACTTTGGGCAATGGAAAATTATAGCTAATCAAGTTCTTTTTTTCTTTAATTACCAGTCACTTTCTTTTTCTGATTCTCATGCACTGGTATGACACTTGTATATCTTTGCATTTAGATACCATGGTGAAAGTCATAATTGTATGAAAACCTGAGGTAGATAAAATATTACAGTGCTTGGATTACAAACACTCCAGGCAAATACATTTCTTTTAAAAAATGTCCTGTATTAGAAGTTTGAAAACATCTCTGGTTGGGTTTGTTTAAATCTTGATGTTGTGCAAACAATAGTGTGTAGCAAATTTACCTTGGAGATGCATAATTTCCTACACCTGCAAATCTGCAAATCTCTTTCTTTACAGACAGCACAAAGAAGAAATGGCAGGTGATATATTTGACATGCTTCTCACATTTACTGATTTTCTAGCCTTCAAAGAAATGTTCCTGGATTACCGAGCTGTAAGTATGTTGAATCATCCTATTTTAACACACACTGAGGTTGCTAATTTCTGTATAGCTCCTGCCTGACAGTATTGGAGACAGTGATAGCAACTTGAGTAACCACATTCATTCAAGAGCCATATAGGGTCAGAAGGAAAGGTAGCTTTCATACTTTAGCTGTTTAATAAACTAAATGCAGCTTGCAGAAATCTATGCAAAGCAGCTGATAGTGCAGCTTTTCAGTGACATGCAGTATTGCATCTATGAATTAAGAATCTTTCCAGTAAGTCTTTTGGTTTTGTTTTTAAGCCCCAAATATTTGTACTGCTTTTTTCTTCTTGTTTGTGTAGGGGAGACTAAAAAGACAAGAGAAGGCTTTTTTTGTTGTTTGTTTTGTTTTTTTAACTTATTAATACCTACTTGCTGTTACCTAAAAAGCTGACTTAGGGGGGAAATGGACTTCTTTGCTAAAACAGATTAGAGAGAGGATGCTCATTTAACTGCTTCTGAGACCAGCTACAGTTGGTAGAACATCATTTAAGGTGCTTAACCAATATTGGCCCACACATCCTACTGTTAGTTTCTAGAGTCACCTACAGATAAGAACAGAACAGGGAAGAAGTGGATCTCTGGTGCAAATGTACAGATCCCAGAGGCCAGTTCTTTGTGCTCAGAGGCACAGTAGTGTGTCCATTTGGTTGAGTAAGTGGAACACTAAATCAATTATAGGTGTCTTCTATAATGCTTTAGGTTGAAAGCCTAGTATTCAAAAACACTACTGAACTGAAGGGTTTTTTTTGTTTGTTTCCCACTTTCTAGGAAAAAGAAGGTCGTGGTCTGGATTTAAGCAGTGGGTTAGTGGTGACATCGTTAAGCAAGTCCTCAGTATCTTCATCCTAGAATAGTTTGACACTAGTTCTTATCTCTAGATAAGTGCTGCTGCTTTCATTTTTGGATATTCAAAACCCTAAATAGTAGTGGATCACAGTATTTTGCTTGATGAAAGGTAATTCACTGACTAAGTTTTGAAAGGCCTGATCCGCTAAACTGTCCTTATGAATTACTGATAGTATTGGATGAGCATAAGACAATAATTTCAAGCCTTTCTAAAAATTAATTGCTTTTTAATATTTCGATAACATCTACACCCCAGCCAATATGGACTATTTGTCAAGAAGCTCATTGCTTCTGAGGGAGTTCATTAGCTGGGATATGTTTGCTCTTGGTTTAAATGACAACTCAGATATCTTATTTCCACATATAATAATAATAATAATAATAATAATAATAATAATGATAATAATAAACCCTTCAAGACAGGAATAATATAAAACAAGTATTGTAACCTGCTCTGGGAAAGCTGGTTACAAATCCACCAACTTTGATTTTTTTCACATTCTCAGAACCATTTATTTTTATTTTAAGAAACATTTTTCAGCTTACTCTTAAACACTGCATCTTCTCTATTGGAGAAGAATATGGTTTGACATGTATATATTTTAGGCTGAGAATGCACTTTCAGTTCAGCAGTCATTATAGATGTGTGTGTGCATGTGTATCCACCAATGGACTGTTACCCAGTTTCAGTCGTATAAAAATAGAGCTTGGTCCAGAGTTTTGAGGAAATAGCAGAAGATCACAAGCCTCCTGGGTGATGTAGGTATGCCAGCAAAACTTCTGGTAGGAATGCGGCTAGGCTGACAGGAAGTAGCTTGTTCTGGTTTAATTTGTGTAATTTTGGAGGGAGGATGAGCATAACTGCTGGCAACAAAACCTTTATGTCTGCATATGCTACGCCTTTACTAGTGGGCCAGCTGTGGCCAAAAAAACTATGCAACATACACAAGCCCTTGTAAAGTTCTATGATCAGTTTTGAACTTAGGCTCTGTCAGCATTACAAAACAAATCATGTCCAAGGTGGCATTAAAACCATAAACTTAGCCTTTCCTACTTTTTGTGTTATTGCAGCTACATGAGTCTACCAGTAGGCTAAACTCCTGGTTCTGCCAAATGTGGCTATTTTTGCCACCATGATATCCAACTCGCTAGAGGGCATGTTGGTAAAAGCACTCGTGTCTAGTACGTACTGGTACTTGCATTGCTGGCAATGATGTGAAATGGTATAAAAAACTGTAGAATCCTAATGCTTTAGCAGTATCTTGGTCTGTACTAAACCTAGAAATACAGCTGTAAATAACTTTTTGAATTTCCATGAGGCTGTGATCATAGCTGCATATGTCTGCTGCTGGTGTTGTCCCATAATTCTGTTAGAAACCTTCCATACGAACACTTTATTTATTTAAATGCCTCCCCTGGAAGGTGTTGTACCTCTTCTAATAAACCACTTAGTGATCTTGACTTTGACTTGTCAACAGTCACACCTTAAAACAAAGCATAAGATCACAAAAGGAGTCTCTGTTTTTATGAGCCTTTTTTAAAATCTTTGTCGTCTCTGTGAATGTGCTGTAGGGAAGAAAATGCTTTGGAATATTTTTCATATAAAAGTAGTTCTACAGGTTTTCTTTTATTGAACATCAAATGAGGTAAATTTTAATTGTATTCAGTAAAAGGCTAAACTGTAACCTTTTTTTTATTCTGTGTTGTTAAAGATTTGCTATCGTAAACCCCCAATTTCCACAGGGGAAGTCCTGTGCATTGAAGCCACTGGGCTCTGTGCAGACATGGTGTCTACTGATACAGATTTAATTGTAAGATTAGGGCCTAAATTTGCTAGGACAAAGTAGCAGCTGAAGTAAACTGACATCTTTCCGGAGATCAGTGGAGCTAGGGCGGGTCAGACCAGCTGAAGCCCTGCGTCAAGATGGTGGGCACAAATTACAAGTCTTTGCCTGCAGCTTCTGCCAGAAATAAGAGTTCTCATGGGCATGTAGTCTAGCACTCACAATAGCACAGGTAGTTTGGAAAGAGTAGGTGGAAACATCTGACAAGTCATTTGTCCCCAGAAGGGTTTATCAGAGCACTGGGTTAAGCTTTTGATGCAAGCTGAATGTAGTATCCTCAGTCATTTTAAGAATGTATTCGACGAATGGGAAAGCTTGTGATGTTCAGTCACTAAAGAAAATATTCAGTCTAACTTTAAAAGAGAGGATTTGTAAAGGATTTCAATCTGGCTTTTCTGATTTCAGTGTGCAGGCTGGAGTTCCTTTGCTGTCATTTTCTTACACATTTGTATTATACCAAACTGTTTTTGTATCAGGAATGGATTTTTGTCATATTTGAAAGAAAAAATGTACTGAAATAGTTTTTTAGAAATTCAGTGTTTAGTGGTGAATTAAATTACTTAAAGGTAAAAAGGCTAATGCTTCTGTGTGTTCGAGCTTGAGATGAAGAAAGCTATTATTTTCTTCCTGTTATCAGTCCTTAAATTATTCATGATTGCATTGATGGTAGTGTAAATGAGTACCACAGAATGTAATTTTTTTGCAGCTTGATAATTTAGAATGTAAAGGTCTAGAAGGCACAGTTTCGAGTGAAATCTCATCTGGATACAGCGTTCTTAAGAAGTGTTCACTGTGTACCAGAGTCACTAATTCACCATCTTTTAACCAGGGTTGTTGCGGGGGAGGGTGGTGTTGGGTGTTCCTCCACCCCTGCCTCCCCTTCTTTCCGATATATCGGTGCCTTGACATTTGCTGTTTAATATCACCAATATACTTTTCAGCTTTTTAAAATTAATTTATTTTGTAAAAAAAAACCCAAAACAACACAAACTAGTAGCTTATCAGTTTAGTTGTATGCTGAGATGGGGGATATGGTGTTGGTTGGGTGCTGGCTTGTCTATATACTGGGACAAAGGGGTATTAAACAATCTTTATGCTGACACTCCTGGCCCTTATACATATGCACAATTTTTCTTGAATTGTAAAATTTGATTTAGCTCAATTCAAAAATGAATTTAACTATAAATTCAGAAAAAGTGTTTGTGTTCAATTTAATTAGTTTGCTTGAAATTTAAACTTTTACTTACTTTAGATTAATTTTCCTGAGTGTCCCTGTATGGGCACAGGAACAAGTTAGCATGAAGTAAAACTGCAGCTTACAGTCACTTGGCACAGTAACTGTGTCTGTACAGGTTTATAACTTGTGATAGACAATGTAGCTTGCCCCTCAGTGGAAGTGCAGTAAGGTTCCTCCCATTTGTCGCTGGCTAAGAGCATGCACACAAGCAGCTGTTCTGCAGTAATTAACTTGCTCTGGACTTGCATCCGACTTTCCTTGTAGTAACTTGCTCATGTGTCTGTACTCTACCAGCTTCCACACAGGAAGGAAGTATTGAGTAGCTAGTGCAATCTAAATTCTCCCACTAGTTTTATTTGCACAGCACAACTTCCTTATGTAGGTAATTCCTTAGACTTAAAAAAGTTGCTTTTTATCTCTGCAAACTAATTGGAATGCCCTCCCCTACTCCTAGTAATCCTAAATAGCAAAATTTGGATGTAGTAATTAGCCCCTTCATTCACTAGTAGGAATTAACTTAGCTAAAATTAAACCAGTGGAGCTACCAGGCTGGGGCTTTAGGTCACATCTCCATTCCCAGATCCTCCACATATTGCTGTAGCCGGAGGTCTTGTTTGAGTCTTCATTCTAGTTGAGGATTTTGGGTAAAATCCAGCCCCATGGAAATTAAATATGCTGTGGACACTACTGGAAGTAACATTAAAGACAAAATAGTTTTTGTTTAGGCAGAACTACCACTGCCCTTCCATGAGCCAGGAATCTTTCTCTTTCAAGGAGCAAGTGTGATCAACCCCTCTAACTCTGTATTTAAATACAAACATATGGCAGGGATGAACAAGCCCTGCAAATTCAGTAGCTCCCCACTTTGCACAGTTTATGCCCCTTTTCCTTTTGAAATCTCTGATTTCGATGTGACATTTTGTTTTACTTCACAGTAGCTTTCTTTTGGGTGTGGGAAGGGAGTGGGGGCATGGTTTTAGTGAAAACTTCCTCAACAAGCCAAGTGTTGAATTTAGAAAGGTTTTTATTTCAAACATACAACTAGTTCCTTAAATTATTGAAATCAATAAAATAATTGCAAACTTATACCATTGCTCAGCTCCCATCCCTGCAACTCTGCCTTCATGCACATGATGTTAATTGTACATTTTTTTTTTTTTTTTTT